ATATATTCTGTGAAGCACTTTAAGATGCCTCAATGACGTGATAAGGTGCGATATTAAAGGCAAGGATTATTATTATCAATGCCGGGTGAACCCTACCTCAACCAAGCACCAAGATCAGGGGATATAAAGCAATGAGTTTGTTATAGAGGAAAATGTTCATCTGAGTTTTCTCTTGTTTCTAATAAGCATTTGTAAAGTTTGATTTATTGCATTTATACAAGTTTAATCCAAAATATTCAAAAACAGCCACGACTTATCTAAAACCAACCTGATGAATTTCTAGCAGTTGGCTCAAACTAAACACAATTAGTCATGTTTACCAAACATTTTCTGTTTCTATGCCATATCTATACATGCATAGTCCTGCTTTATTATCAGCGGCTGGAAATGGCTCTTATTAACATTAAGACAATTTTTTAAAAAATAATAATGATGTTTCTTGCATTTGATGTAGCATTTCACGTTGCGAGGACATCTCAAAGCGTTTCACAAGAATTCATTGTAGAGTCCAGTGACTTGTGTGTTTTGTAGAAAACTTTAAAATAGTGCAGAATTGTAGAATATTCAGGCTTAATTTGGAAGCACATTCTCTTTAAGAACGAGAGAAAACTGGCTTCCAAATTGAGACAAAAGTTACGACTTTTCCAAAACTGTTTGGCACTTTAAATGTTTAACACAATGGTCTTTAGGCTAAGAACATGAGATATTTTCAGCCTTTGAAGATAACTTTCACATAGTCTTTAATTAGCACTCTGACAAGTTAAGGCATTTCAAATAGAATTGGATCAGTTGCTGATTCCAAGAGTAAAGGGCAGGAGTTTTGGAACATAAGTTGGAAAGTTATTGTAAAAATAGAAGGGATAATAATATTACATTATGTGGAGGAAAGGGCGGGGAAATGGGATTAGGGTAGATAGATCAAGTGATTTTGCTCCTGGCAGCATAGGCACAATAGGCCAAATGCTCATGTCCATTCAGTCAATGGGATAATAATAATCCATGGATTTGATATTGGGCCCTATCACATCTTTAAGACGTCTCAAAGCGCTTCACAGAATATACTGTAAAGAGAATTGACTGTATATTTGCGGACAAAATGCGGCAGCCAATTGCACACAGCAATGTCTCACAAACAGTCGTGGATTGAGTGACCAAATTATTACTATTATTTTTTTGGAGGAATTATTACCCCCAGAAAGCAATCTGCCAATTGATTAACAACCAGTTTCCTACTTACTGCGAGGTAAACAAGGACAACAACAACGTGCATTTATATCGCGCCCGTCACACAGAGTAGCGTCCCAGAGCACTTTGAGGCATATGGAGTAAGGAAACCTGACCAAGGTTTTGCCCAGCATGGGAATCGAACCCGGGTCCTCTCGCGTGCGAGATAAGTGCTCTAACCAATACGTTACAGGACAACATTTCTCCCTCACATCAGGGCTGATGTATAGTATTTGATCACTTCCCATCACAAAGTATTGCAGATTGACCCAAGCATTCATGTTAAATAAATTGCTAACTATCTGTGAAACTGCATCACAATAGTGAGCTTGGTGTATGTTAATCAACACATCTCAGTGAGGGGAGGCAGTGAGATATTTGCTTTGCTTTTGATGAACTGTTTTCTCTCAGGCGATGAATTACCTGTTGTGGGATTGCCAGCATTTTCTGTTTTCATTTCAGGCCTCCCAGTTTTGCTATTTATTCTTTACTCTTGGCCTCAGTGCCTCTAGGCTAAGGAACAGAATTATTGGCCGACTCTCTCCTTCCTCTTGATTGATATCCGGTGACCTCTGCTGGTAAGTGCACGCTTGTGGATGTTGGATGGGGCTCAACATCCAGCTCAGCTGAATTGTTTGCCAGCCCTTGTTGCCTAGGCTCAAACATGCAGCGTATTCTCTCTGGTGAGGTGGCGGAGGATCTCTAGCACATGTGGAACCATACTCCAGTGTATGTCACTGGCTTCGGGAGAGGAAAGGAGAAACAAAAGGAAAGAAATATGACAGAAGATACTGTCAGAAGATAATTGAGTACATTGTTTGGCTGCTGTAATAATAATAATCTTTTCATTTGATATAGCGCCTTTCAAAACAATGACAACCACAAAATGTATACTTATATAGCGTCCTTCATGTTGGCACTGGACAGCTCAAGGTTTGCGTCCGCGGGAAGAATGTCTAAAGAGCTTCAAAGGTGTATTGTAAAGTGTATTGACTGTATTGTGTAATTGTAGTTGGACAATTTGCACGCAGAAATGTCCATCAAACCACTATGAAGTGAACCACCATTGTTTTTATCTAGAAGATTGCTAGCCAAGACAAATACACAGATATCACCTCAAACAGTGAACTGATATTGCTTTGAGCAGCATTTCATCTGTCTTTATGGTGGTTATCCTCTAAGATTCAGTTCCCATCTCCCATCAGATTGAATTCAAGATACTCGTTCTCACCTTTAAATCCCTCCACAGGTCTCACTCCACCCGACCTACTGGCCCCACTGGTCAATTTGCCTAGCATACACCGGCCTGCTTCATGTCTCCCACCCTATCCATCAGCAGGTCACATTTGGCCATTCTGTCCCCACTCTTTGGAACTTCATCCTGGAGTTCCTATGAATCACAATCTCCCCACATTGAAAGCCAATCTCATCACTTATTCTTTGACCACACATTTGTTTCATTGTTCCCCTCCCCCTCCCCAGCTCAATGCCCATCCAGCAGTGTGAAGCGCTTTGTGAATTCCTTGCTACGTTCAAAGCCCTATATGGATGTAAATTATACTGCTCCCAGCTTCTGATTTCTCACAGCGATTTCTCCTGGTTAGTAGTCCTGGTTAATAATGGACAAAATCCGCAGTGTTTCTTAATGTGTTCTTTGTCTTAATTGAGGTTAGGAATAGATTAAGGAAAAACGGAAATTTCTTCCTGTTCCTCAATGAGCACCACTTTGGCATTTAAAGGCTCACATTTTTCCATGCATTTGTTCCCAGATCTTACTCAGCTCCCAGTCTGCGATTCTCCCAGATTCTTACTCTGCTCCCAGTCTGTGATTCCCCACAGGTCAAAATCTTGTGTTTTGGCAACTGGCAAGCAGCAAAACTATTAAAGTGCGTACGGTTAACATCTCAGAAATGTCACGATAATAAAGTAGTAAAGTGGTTTTGATTGTAGACAAACATGCACTCAACTTGTTAAACAATATCCTCAAAAAAGCTATGAATTGGATTATCATAGTTATTCTGTGGGATTATCTGAGGGATTGTTGGCCAGGACACAGTGAGAAACTCCCTACTCTTTTCGCATAGCGTCATTAACATCCACATAAACAGGCAGACGAGACCTAGGTTTAACATTCATCAGAAGGATGCCAAATCCAAATGGATGCATCCTCAGCATAATATTAATAAATAATCCTTGCATACTACAAATACACAGTCATGACACTTCAAAATTGAATTAATGTGGTGGGCTGGTGGAGTGTTGTAATGTTTCGAAGTGCTGTAATGCTTGCAACGCCAGCTCAGAGCGCTCTAACATCTCAGAGAGCTTGTAACGTCTCAGAGAGCTTGTAACATTTTGAAGTGCCTATAGTGGTTTAAAAACCAAATCTGCAGAAACACTGTTCCAGTGAAAGAACAGCAAACTTATGGAACAGACTCCCTGGGAGATAGAGGAAGCAGAAAATGTCATTTAAGGAAAAAATTTGATAGATTTCTGCTAGAAAATAATATCTCGGGATACAGTGTATAGTTTTGGACATATGTGAAGCGACTGCCAGGATGGTGGAAAGCAAACTAGATGGGCCTTGTACTTCTTGTAAAATTTTTATGTTCTTTTGTTGTTATCCCAACACACAGGACGTCCTCACTGAAACGATCCACTTCCTGTCCACGGATTCCAGTGTGTCAACTGCAATTATCGTTTAAGGAATCCATTAAGAAATAACACAAATTAGACCACACTGTACAAATAGCTCTCATTTTGGGTGATTGGTGAGATGATGATTAAAGACGCAACACAGTTAACATGGATTTTGAAGACTCCAGGTTCATTTTATGACTCACTCAATCTCAAATTATTTCTCCTTCCATCCCATTGTTAGTGAAAAATGGCAGTAAGGTCACAGAAGTGCTTTGCAATTCCAAACGATGAGGTTTGGACTGTTAATTCTCTCTCTTTGTCTGCTTGAAAATCTGACAAACGTTAGGACACACTGCAGAGATCCAGGTTGAGCAGATGAATGTAAACCGTTATACACTTGTTAATTTAGTTACATTTTGGAATAAATTTCACTGTTCACTAACTTTGTGGGAAGAGAAGAATGGAACTGTACAGAACAAGCAGTCTCTTGGCAGCAATGCCATGCAAAATAGTTTTTAGCGTACAAAACACGATAAATATATTAACCCTGAAACTGTTTGGAAGCAGTTCAGTAACTTTAAATACCATCAGCGGAAGCATATTATTGCAATATCTAATTTCAATAACCTAGATACTTGGCTTTTTATGAAGAGTTATACAAACGTACAGAAAACCTGCAAAAATTATCAGAGAGAATACAAAAAACAACTTTGGCTAAATGTATTTTGTGGGGATGATTCTCTCTTCAACTGGAATATTTGAAGATTACTTAGGGATAATCCACAGCTCACATAGTTACGATGCAACCATACTTGAATATGAATCTCAGGTGAATTTCACACAAATGTCGGAAAAGGAACACTGAAAGTAATCCACAAAGTCCAGTCTATGGCCTGGCTCTCATCTTAATAATATCATAATCATTTGATGTAACGCCTTATCACATCATTGAGACATCTCAAAGTGCTTCAAAGAATATACTGTAAGGTGAATTGACTGTATATTTTGTGGGCAAAACACGGCAGCCAATTGTGCACATCGGTGTCTCACAAACAGTTGTGGATTGAGTGAACTTCATTTTCTTTGAAGGGATTATTATCCTCAGAAAGCAATTTGCCAATTGACAATCCGTTGTGTTGTTAGGAAATATTGGCGTGCAAAATGCCGTGATATTTCAGAGGGAAATTCAAAGTGATAAATATCAGATAATCACATGCAAAGAGTTATTAGTGTAGAGAACATGATAAATACATCGACTCTGAAACAGTAAGGATGCAGTTCAGTAACTTTCAGTAACAGTTCAGACCAGCATGCCATATCACTCTATGTAACTTTAATAACTTTATGTAACCTTCCTCTTTGACTGCGACTCAGTCATCTTTCCCTCCCCTTTCCTTTTGGCTCTAACCGCGCCCCACCCCTCAGCTTGGATGCGAAGCCAAGACTGTCAAGCACCTTAGGACATCTTCCCGACATGAAAGGCACTATATAAATGTAAATTTGTAGTGTATTGTAAAAAACGCCAGAAGTATATTGCTGTGATATCTATTTTCAATAACATGTCACTTTCCTTCCTGTGAAGATTTACAGAAAATCTAATGCAAAAATGTATTATCGGAGATTGTGTTTTTTGTGGACTTTGTGATTTATTTTCAATAATTACTACATTGAATTTGTAATGAAACATCGCACTTTACACCCTGTTGCCTTCTTTGTCTGTTTCCCTCCCTCCCCAATTCGGTGGAAGTAAATCACAACTTTGCAGCTTGTCACATTTCAGGAGATTGACGATGTTTTTATCTAAGTAACCAATGCTATTACATGATAAACATGGATGTGCAGCAAACTCAGTAATCGATATTACAACACCTGACTGCTCCTTCCATCAGCGGAGCATTAAATAACATAACAAATGTAAGTGTAACACAGGGTGAGAGATGCAATATTTCACAATGGAATTGCTAGAAACAGAGTGGTAAAATTTTGCGGCTTTCCTTATTTAACGCTGCGTAAACTACCGTCACCGAATGGCAGCAAAACCTTTCAGATTAGTGTTTCTTTTCCAGGTTTCCTATTCGCACCTTATTACAATTTTTTTTTGAGGCAAGTGATTTTTATTTTGCAAATAATGGGCCATCAGACTTTAAATTCCACAAGGTCTTAGCCTGTAAGATTGTGCAGAAATGTAAAAAAAATGTAAATTCTGTGATGGAAAGCCTGGACACAGAGTTTTTCACTCAAGAGAGATGTTGGGACGTGGAATGCAAGAATGGTGGAAGCAGAGTCCATTGTGGATTTCATGAGGGAAGTAGACAGGCATATGAAAGATAGCGGCTCGAAAAGGTATGAGGATGGAGCAGGGCAGTGGCATTCAGTGGACAGTTTGCTGATGGAGACTGGATGGTCTGAATGGACTCCATCTGTGCTGTAAATTTCTGGGATTGCATGATTCTATTTGAAACTTTGCAAAATGAAAATCGCCTGTGAAAAGGAGTAACCCATGGAGAGGTGCATTCCCACCTTGATATTTTACTCCGGCATTAAACAAGGAACGCTGCAAATTTTACCCGATAGAAGTATAGAACATTTGTTCAACCCATCCTGTCTGTGCCACTGTGACCTGTTTCCCTAAGTACTTTTTCTCCATTAATGCCACTTTCCAGCTCTTTCCCAATATCTTACACACATGGAATCAGTTACAAAACGTTGTATTTTCCATTACAATAGAAAGTCTCATGAAAACCCCACCGATGTGTTGTTAGTGATCCAATCCAAGCAGTTCATGATCCTCCTATTTTGGCAATGAGAAATGGTTAAGTAAATGTTACTTTGTTAACACGGAACATAGGTACTCGCATGTAAATCTTCCTGAGACTTCTTTTAGGACTTTTCGAAGATAAAGCACCACTTTGAGTATTGTCCAGTCTAAATGCATTGGCATCAACTTGGTCGATCTGCACAGCTTCAATAGTTTGGTCCTTTTCTGAAGGGATCTCTTCCTACCATCGCTTGGTAGCACAGAGAAGGCTGGCATGTTCCAGGCGAACCTGGACTTCCCATTCTCCCTGGATTCCCGGGATCTCCGTTCTTCCCAGGCGGACCAGGCATTCCCGGATTACCCTCTTTACTATTACCAGGCAGCCCGCTGGGACCTTTGTGGGAAAGGAAAAAACAAAAACAATTCAGAAATAGAATCAGATAGTACAGATGCATTTAAGAGGAAGCTAAACATACCACTGTCTAGTGAAGTGGAAATTTGGAACTCTCTCCCCGAAAAGGCTGTAGATGCTGGATCAATTCAAATTTTTAAAACTGAGGTCGATAGAATTTTCTTAGGTAAGGATATCAAGAAATATAGACCAAAGGTGCGTAAATGGAGCTGAGGTACATATCAAGCATGACCTAATAAAATGGCAGAACAGGCTTAAGGCACTGTTGCCTACTCCTGTTTCTATGTTCTGACATGAGAGAGAAAGGAACAGAAAGGTAAGGAGTGGGTGAAGACTCCTGTGGAGTATAAACAATGAAATGGACTGGTTGGGCCGAATGGCCTGTTTTACGTGCTGCACGTTCTATTTGATTTCACGTTATACCTTTGGTTTTACACCAACATCTCGCAATTTTTGCACCCCATCATTTTGTTACATTTAACCATCAGGTGAAAATTGGTTTAATTCCTGTGTCCAAAAGCTGACCAGTTTGCTCAGTTTTCATCCATGCATCCATCCATTTCATCAAACACTGGTTACTAACGTTTGGCAAATGTCAGCACTTGCATTACTTCTGTAATATTACCATCCACATGGCAAATTTAAACATCTAAACACAATTTTAACTAAATTAATGCATAACTTTTTTTTCCCCTGGTACCTGCCACCAACCGAGTGAGGGCTCAAACCTGTGCTTGTCAAGATATCAAATGTCTAACTGGTAACTATCTTCCTTGGAGAATAGGTAAGTAGGGTCTTGTTGGAGCTGGGCAGGCTCCAAGCTTTCGTGCTTGACAATGGAGTGTCGAAATACAGTCAACCAACCGTTGAGGTCTCAGTAGTCTGCTTTCAGAGGCAAGTGGCTTTGCTGTACTCTAGGGCACTGCTGATGATGGAGCAAGCAGCCTGACTCATTGGAAATACCTGGAGGGACAGACCAGTCACCGGGAGCAGAGATACCTCCCACTCAGCTCCTGTTAATCCTGGAAGCCAAAGCCCTCATGGGTAACGCGGTCTTAGCAGGACAAGCAGTGAGAAGCTTGCCAGATGGTGCCCTCAATGGCAAACTATGCAGTTTTAGCTGCGTAATCTCCAACACACATTCTAGGGTCCCCAAGCCTTGTTTTTTTCCAACCTGCGCCTAATGCTCTCTTGGAATTAGGTAAGCAGGGAGTGCACATTCTAGTCCAGACATGGGGAAATCTTTATGTGTAGGTGACATGTAGGTGACATATATATATGTATAACTCTTATTGTGAATCAGACACTCTTAAGCATGGTGAAAGGCATGTGTCCAACACCTGGTTGACCAAAAGAAAACCATCTCACCCAAAATATGAGGGTTGGTAATTACGAATGGGAACAGTGGTTCGTGTTCACTGACATCCAACCTGGGTACTGAGGCTAATTAGTGTGGCCCCAGTTGGGATTAGCTATCTTTCCCAAGCCCAATCCTGTCCTCATTCAGTAAAGCAATTTTATGTCTTTAAAGTGCAAGCCTGTTATTATAGATGGGTTCTTATCCATTCACAAGTGCCGTACGTGCTGCTGAGAGTTAGGTCCAATGGTTCCAGCTGCAACACGTTTTATGTGGGAATATAGGAGTATTCACAGAAAGGGAACATTTCACTACGCTTGTGCCTTGTTGCAGGGGAAGTCTTGCAAAAAATTAGTTTATCTTGGCAACCACGCAATCACAGTATCGAATTTGTCAGAAATTCAAACATCTCTCTGTGCGTCCCATAAATAATATATTTATTCCAGCTCTTAACAGCTATAATCTTCGATAAGAATACTCATCCTTCTTGAGTTAAGGGTGCAACAGAAGTTGGCAAAGTATTAAATAAAGAAAGGCCACCACTCAAGACGAACTAAACCTCGTTAATGTAGCATTAAATCATGCAAGTTCAGGACCAAACACATTTCATGATGAAGTGTATGGCAGTTGGCCTGCGTTTCTGACACTTTGATGTTTCCTCTTAATGACTGAGAAAACAAATGAAACAGCTTTACAATTTAATATATTGATGTACCTTTCCACCAATGTTGGTCCTTTGACCAGTAAATCTATAGAATTTTACTGATCCATTTTACAAACTATTGCTCGGTAATGTGCACACCACTGATCTATTGATTTATATGCACACTCCTGATCCATGTACAAGCCAGTGTTCTGCTGAGTTCCTGAAAAGCTTATGTTAACAAAGTTATATTAATAACCCTAAACAAAAAAGGAAATAAATAGTGATATAATAGAAACTTATTCCCCAATTACTTACCCGGTTGTCCCGGTATGCCTTGCTGTCCAGGATAGCCCACACCCTTATCACCTTTCTCACCTGGCATCCCTGGAAAGGGTCGGGGGCGGGGAGAAAGGGAGGAACAAAAGGATTAAAGAAGACTGTTAAAACATTCAAATATATCTCTACTGTATTGATGTGGTGATATAGGCGAGTGAAGAATATACTATTTGTTGTGATAATTGTGACTGACGATATAAGCACATGATCGGAAATTCTGTTCCTGGCAATAACCCGCTGATATTTACCGGACAATCACTTTTTCTCTCTTCCCCCCCACAAACCCCTCCCCACCCCCACCCCACCATTGCTTTGTCAAAATAGTTGATCACAGGTCACCACTGAATCTGCCAACATGTGGATTTCAGTGTCAAATTGTAACATGAATTGTGTAAATGGAAAGCATCTCCCTAAGATAAATACCTACCTCCCCCCACACCATATCAGTCTGTTTACATAATAATCCTTGCATTTGATATTGACGTCTCAAAGCACTTCACACAATATACTAAATTGACTGTGTATTTTGTAGGTTAAATGTGGCAGCCAATTGGCACAGCGTCCTTCAAACAGTTGTGGATTGAATGACCCATTTTTTCGTAGGGGTTATTACCCTGGACAGTGATCCGCCAACTGACTTTCAACCAGGTTCCGGCTTACTGCTACGTTATCAGAGCCGTGCAGAATAAGGAAATTTGCCTAAGGTTTTCCCTTTATATCTACACTTATCAAAACCCCTCATAATTTTGAACACCTCTATTAAATCATCCCTTAACCTTCTCTGTTCTAAGGACAACAATCCCAGCTTCACACAGCAATGTCCCACAAACAGTCGTAGATTGAAAATGACCAATTTATTATTGTTTTTTTTGGTTTTGGAGGGATTGTTATTAGGTGTGTGGAGTAAGGAAACTTGCCCAAGGTTTCGCTCTGCCTGGAATTGAACTCAGGTCTCTCGCCTGCAAAGCGAGTGCTCTAACCACTGAGCTACAGGACTCCACGATATCCTTCCTAAAGTGTGGTGCCCAGAATTGGACACAATATTCTACCTGATGCCTAACCAGTAAGTTATAGCAGAATGCCCTTGCTTTTCTACTCTATGTCTCTATTTATAAAGCCAATGATCCCATATCCTTTTTTTAACAGCTCTATCAACCTGTCCTGCAACCTTCAAAGACCGGTGCATGTGAACCACCAGCTCTCTGCTCCTGAACCCCCTTTAAAACTGTACAATTTAGTGTATATTAGTGTATAAATGTTTTCCTATTAAACCAATCACAATGTTTGTTGTTACTCAAGCTTAATTGACTCGTATAGTTTCCACATGCATTTTATTTACAAAATGCCATAGTTAGAAAGGTTATAATAAGATCCCAATTTTAGCAAAAAGTGAAATTGAAATGTAACTAATTGGGAAACATGAGGCCAAAACCAAACTTTTAATAATATAATAAGCCTTTTTGATTTGGTGCCTTATCACCTCATTGAAACATCTCAAAGTGCACCACTGTAAAGTGAACTGCACACAGCAGTGTCCCACAAACAAGCGTGAATTGAGTGATGAAATTTTATTTTTATAAGGGATTATTACCCCCGGAAAACGATCCACCAATCGACTAACGAACTTCTTCCTACATGCCGCTCATCTTAGAGTATATGAGTTCCATTTCACAATGTGGGGTTTGCACACTACAACCTTCTGTCCAGGGGTGAGAGTGCTACCAACGAAGCCACGTTGGTAATAATAATAATAATAGGAACATCCACCTCAGCCTCACTTGCAGGCTACTGCAGCAGGAATTATAAATCCCGCTCCCAGTTCTGAATTTCTCCTTGTGCTGGAGGAGATATCGAATTGCTCAGAGCACTTCAAAACAGAGATAAATAGTTTTACAGATGGTTGAGTGCAAATTCCTGTCCCATTGGTCATCTCTGCCTCATTCCATCGAGTCTTCGATTTTATCTATGACTAATTCCTGTATTTGATATAGCACCCTTCATGTCAGTGGGACATCTCAAAATGCTTCACAAGTCACTACTGTGAAGTGTAATGACTATGGCAGCAAATTTGTGCACAGCAATGTCTCACAAACAACCATGAAACAAATGATCAATTTTATCTGCGGTATTGTTGACCATGGCACCGGGAGAAACTCCCTTCTCTTTTCGAGTAGTGCCAAGGCATCTTTAAAGTCAATCTGAGCAGGCAGAACAGGCTGATTTAATATATAAATACACTATGGTATGTTTTTGAGCAGCAGTTTTTTACTATCCTAAATGTTCCTTTTAAGCAAATAACTTTTTTTTATTACATTACTCACTTACGAGGAGTATTCGTTTGTCCGCTCACAGTGACACGTTGCTTTGCTTAGCTTACTGGATGATTTTAAATGTGATGGAAAACTATCCAAAATAGATTTAAAAATCTTTAAATCTGTTAAAGAAATAGCAGAAGCCGTGCAACATGTGGGATTTCAAGCAAAAATAAAACAGCGACTTCATGACCAGCAGCTAACAATAGGGATCAATTTCATAGGAACAGATATTGAGGACACATGCTCAAACTGCCTTCAATTTCAATTCACTTAAAGGAGAAACTAGAACGAAAGTATGGGTGTTATAGAAGGACGAGATCAAATTGGCCAAAAATTGGCTTCATCCAAAGCGATCTTCTAATCACTTCTTGACCTTTTTATGATCAGGTCTCCTGATTTGGAGAGGGTTATCCCACTGATTGATTTATAATAATAATAATAATAATCCTTGCATTTGATATAGTGCTTTTTCACATCTTGAAGATGTCTCAAAGCGATTCACACAATATATTGTAAAATGGATTGATAGTGTATTTTGTGGGTGTAACACTGCAGCCAATTGCGCACCAATAGTTGTGGATTGAGTGACCAATTAAATTTTTATTTTGAAGGGATTATTAGCCCCCGTAAAGCAATTTGCCAATTAACTAACAACTGGGTTCCTACTTACTGCTAGGTAAACAGAGGCGTGTGGAGGAGGGTAGAAGAGGAGAAGGGGGAGGAAGGGGAGAGATCGAGGGGAGGAGTGCATGGATTTACATAAGTAAGACAGAAGTAAGCACTTTGTCATCCCTCTCACTGTTGACCACAAATCTGCTGAGGTCAATATATAGGAGATCAACCGGTTTAACTTAACTCGTATTCTATGAATCAACCCTTTGGGGTTGATAAAACATACCCTTTTGCCCCATTACCGCTAACCTCAGGTGCCCAGCCGGCATTGTGAAGCACTTTGAGAAGTGCTTGCGACATGAAAGGCGCTGTATAAATATACATTTTACTGTAGTACACAATCCTAATTCGTAATGATTCAGATTTACCCATCGGTCCATTGGCACCCGGAAGACCCACTGAACCACTGTGACCCGGAAGTCCTTGTGCGCCCGGTAACCCCGAGAAGCCTTGGGGGCCTTGCCGGCCCGGGGAGCCCGGGGGGCCGGGGGGGCCAGGGGAACCCTTGCGTGCTTGACAGCGAGCACAATTTTGACTCCTTTCGTTCTGCAGGACTGATGTAATTTCGGCTGCCAAAAAACAAATGATATGGGGAAGAAATATTAAATCAAATATTAAATTGTGAATTGTCACTTAAGTATTGGCCACCACCAAATTTATACATACATACATAATAATATGCGTAATATTAACATGCACACATAATAATAATAATAAACTATATATGAAGGGAGTACTACTAACTGAGCCAGGCTGATACCTATTATTAATAATAATAATAATCTTTGGACTTGAATAATAATAAAAATCCTTGCATTCGATAGAGTGCCTTATCACGTTATTGAGACGTCTCAAAGTGTTTCACAGAATATACTGTAAAGGAATTGAATGTGTATTTTATGAGCGAAGCTACATACATAAATACATGACTGCATGACTGCATGCATGCATGCATGGATACACTCAAACATGATCACACTTTCCAACATTTTTTCCTAACTTTTGCAGCTGTTGGGATCAGTGACCTCAATTTTACCTGTCAGCCAGAGGAAACTCAAGATTACATCTTCCATCTACTTTTCTGACAGAGGCAGAAATTTAAGTCTCCAAACCAAACTGATGAGGCTTCCACATAGTGTAAATATGGTTTCTGTGTCTGGTATGGAGCGTGCACACTCTCTCTGGAGAAAAGCACCCTCCCTCCCAGAGAATTTAGGTGCAGATGGGCAAGAGCTGAGACTTAGGGACCCAGGTATAATCAGGTAAAACCATACAGCTTCCCATGCTCCCTGCTTATAGACCAGTCAGAACCACTCTACCCATTAGGGCTTTGGCTTGCAAGGATAACGGGCTGAGTCAGAAGAATTCCTGCTCCCAATGACTCATCTACCCTTCCAAATCCTGCTGATGAGCCAGGCTGGCTGTGCTGCCACCAGCAGTGCCCTGGAGTATGCAGACTCACTTGGCTCAGGAACTGGACTACCGAGACCATCACAGAGGGCTGGCTCGATTCCAATATTCTGTTGCCAAATATGTCACTTCAGAGCCCACTTAGGCCCAAAGAGACCTCACTTACTTTCCCCTGAAGAGGATAGTCAATTTTTTCTCACTTTTTGTGTGTACAGTATTTTGCAAATCAGACCCAGCGACGGGATTAAAAATTGCTCCATTGGGAAACCCACCGCACAAATTTTGGGAACGCCAGAAAAAACACCTCAAGATATAAAGTCTGTCTCATGTACCTCAGCCCATTCCAGGGACCTTGGCTCAGAGGAGATCACGATATCCTCAAGATATGAACGTCAGGTACTTACTCACTCAATCACTAAACAGAACCAAAACTCTCACAAGGTGTAAACTGGGAAAATTGAATGTTGTGCACTTACTTCTCAGCACGTCCATGCAGATTTGTCGGATGTATTTATCTGAAATGGTTCTTCCCTATTAAAACAGTTCAATATTAGAAATCAGCAAAAGCATGGTAATAATAATATTCCTTGTATTTGACGTAGCCTCTCATCACATCACCGCAACATCTCAAAGCGCTTCACATACTCTTATGTGTAAATGACTGTGTATTTGTAGGCAAACACTTTGTGTACAGCAATGTGAACTGGCACAATCCACAGCTGGATGAGTCTAACAGCCACCATGGGTGGCTTTCCTGGCAAGGTCTAATCATTCCTGGCTATCACTTATAAAGATGCAGTGTTCACACTTACGGCCCATAATCAGTCCTCAACTGACCTTGTCAATCAAGTCATTTATCACTGATATGCTATCAGCGTATCTATAATAATCCTTACAATTTCATATAGCGCCTTATCACATCTTCGAGACGTCTCAAAGTGCTTCACAGAATATAAAATCAAGTGAATTGACTGTATATATTGTGGGCGAAACTGGTGTGCTGTGTGTTGAATAGCGGTAGATATCATCAGTGGTATTGAACACACCGCACGTTGCAATTTTGCACCACTTATCTCATCCATGGAGAAGGAGAAACTAACTTACAGGTGTTCCCTCGATTCCAGGTAGGCCCGGGGATCCCCTCAACCCTTCGCCTCCTCTCGGTCCCTGCACCCCTGTTGCTCCAGGGAAGCCGCGCTCACCCCTTTGACCAATTAAGCCTTGAACACCCTGGTCTCCCGTATGGCCTTTCTAGAAGCAAAGAGTTACAATGACAGTGAAACTTGTTGCACCATCAGCGAAGCCACAGGATCAGCAATGACAGCATTTATATAGCGCCCTTCATGCGGGGTAGCATTTCGGTGCACTTAACAGTGGTGGAGGTTGATGCCAAGCTGGGGGGGATGGGAGAGGGGACCATAAGCACGATCAAAAAGCAGGTTCTTTAGGTATGATCCAAAGATGAGGAAGGAGCAGGGAAGGTTGAGGGATTGATCGAGAGACTTCCAAAATTTCAGGGTGTAGTAGCTGAAAGCACGGCCGCTGATGGAGCACAGGAAATGAGAAACGTAGGAGGCCAGAGCCAATTGAGTGGAGATAGCAGGTAGTGGAGAGGGGAGTAAGCAGGTCAGAGAGATCGGGAGGTGCCAGGGCATGACGTGATTTGAAAACGAGTGTGAGAATCTTGAAGTTGATCTGTTCTGTAATAGGGAGCCAGTAGAGCCTGGGAAGGACTGGAGTAAGGGGGTTACGGAGTTTGATGCAGGTGAGTATATGATCGGCAGAGTTTTGAATTCGTTGGATTTTGTGGATAGAGGAATTGGGGAAACCAGCAAGGAGGGCATTGGAATAGTCGAGGCAGGAGGTGAAAAAAGCATGGACGAGGGTTTTGACTGAGGTATGGTCGGAGGCAGGCAGTGTGACAGAACTGGAGGAAAACAGTCCCGGTCAGGGACTGGATATGGGGTAGGAGGACAGCTCGGGATCGAACCTGGTACCCAGGTTACACACAGGTTCAGTAAGTCTGAAAGACAGACTGAGGAGGTTGAGAAGGTTGGAGACACAGGTGAGAAGACATTGATGAGAGCTAAGGAGTATGACTTCTATCTTGTTAACAGTCAGCTGCAGAAAATTAGTGCTCATCCAGGCCTTGAAGTCTGTCACACAAGAGGACAGAACATCAGCGGACCTGGAGTTGTAGCTGGACGAGGTGAAGTAAATTTGGGTGTCATCCGCATAAATGTGGAAGTTGACCTGGTGTCTGAGGATGACATCACTGAGAGGGAACATGTGGATGAGGAAAAGAAGGAGACAAGAATGGGAGGAAACAATGTTAGCGGAGACAAAGTATTGGCGGTCAGTTAAGCAGCATTCAAAACCAGTTTAATTTAATGTTCAGGAACCTACCTCTCCTTTTGATCCATGTGCACCTGTTGTTCCCTACAAATAAAAAAGCAATTATTAAGCTCCTTGTGTAAACTCTATGGCAACTTGTGGCAACCTAGCTCAATGGGCAAAAGGTTGCGAGTCCAAGGACCGCATCAGAGATTAGACTGACACTTATGTGCAGTACCATATGGGGGGTGGGTGGAGGAGAGGAGAAGAGAGACTGCAAATGAAGTGGTTCACGTGACAAAATGTGGTACATTATGTTTGCCTGTTTAAAAAAGTCACAACACTTGTGAAACTTGTGAATGGTTTGAAATGCTACAAGAATGCAGCTTCCTTCTTGCTTCTACCAAGTGTCAGCTTTGCTCAGTTGGCAGCTCAGAAGAAGATTCAGCCCATCAGTCCTGCAGTCCATGTCCTCTCCTGCACTAGGCTCCGTGACCCTATCACCCCCATCCTTGCCCAACTCCACTGGCTTCCCATCACACAGAAGATAACAGTTCAAGATCCTGGTCCTCACCTTCAAAGCCCTCCATGGGCTTGCTCCCCCCTACCTCTCTGACTTCCTAACTCCCTACAATCCTGTTCGCTCCCTCCGCTCAGCGGGCTCCAGCCTGCTTCACGTCCCCCTACTTGCTCACCCTACTATTGGCAGGGGGGGCCTTCCGCACTCTGCACCCACCCTCTGGAACTCCATCCCACAGTCCCTCCGTCTCGCCCCCTCCCTCGCTACCTTCAAGACCCACCTCAAAACCCTCCTCTTCGACCATGCTTTCGATCTCCCTGCTTCCCCTCCCGCTCTTCCCCCTCCCCCACCCCGACCCTCAGCTCGGGTCCGTAACTCTGTCTGTCCAGTGCCTTGGGGAGTCCTCCCGACCAGAAAGGCACTATATAAATGTAATTTTGTTCTTGTTGTTGTTCAGGCCTCCCGCTGGGACACTGAATTCTAATCTAGGTGGGAGAGCAGTGTATTATTGGAGGTGGCGTCCTTCGGATGACTTTAAACCGAGGTCCCGCCTATCTATTCAGGTGGACATTAAAGATTCCATAGCACTATTTGAAAAGAGAAAGGAGTTTCTCCCAGTGTCCTGGCCAATAATTCTCCAGCTAAAATTGGTCATTCATTTCTGTGTGCAAATTGGCTATTGCATTAGTCTGCAAAATACACAGTAACTACATTTTACATTGTCTCTTGTGAAGAGTTTGCGATGTCCTCTGGACATGAACAGGATCACAAGGGACTAGAGGAGTAAGTGGGAAGATAGGGAGGAGGGGATGAGACGGAGCTGAGACTCAGGTGGATTAGGGGGAACCGGCACAGACTGGTTGGACAACATGGCTTGTTTCAGTGCTGGATATTCAGTGTAATTCTGAGCAATGTAAATTGTGCTGCTAATGTTGGTGAAAGTGGGCAATGATCAAAGGCAATGGGAGTCACATGCTAACATTGAATACATACACCTAGGGCCCCTCACATGCACCAAACAACTAACATACATCAAGGACAGCTTATCAGCTATCTGGCGGACATCTGCCTTCAGTCTGGTGGGAGGACCTTTGCAGGACAGCTTTTGACATGCCAGCCACATTGAAGTTCTCGAGTTTCAAGGCACACA